GCCTTAAAATTTTGACATTTGGATCTTTTAACTTCAATGGGAGTATAAGAGCAACATGACTCTCGGATCTTGACAAATTGGGACCAAGAGTCATAGATTCGCAAGTGATTCATGTGGACGATTTGTATGCATGGAAGGTATCGAGGGGATTGAGGATAACCCTTATTTCAGGACTGGTTACTATATTTGAGCCTCTTGACTATGTAATGTGCATGCGATATGTTTTATGTGATTGATGATATAAGCCTAATGACAAAATAACATTGTATGAGAATTTAGGGGCCAACAGAGGGCATTGGCCCAAATCCTCGACTCTTAAAACCTTATAGCATGTGGATAAATAGTCACAATGCATCGGAAGCTGCTCTTCAATGATCCACGGGTAAGGTGTATACACATGTGCCAAGAAAGGGACCCACATACCATATGTGTGCATGGCCTCTTGGGGGTACACTTGAAATCTACTAGTACTTATGGATTCATTGTCACTCATTAGTTTGATTTTGATAAGTCGTATCATGAGTTCCCTGAATATACAATGTGGATCATGAATTTGTTGGGTTATATCGAGAAGGTGACTTTGGATTTTGGGTCTAGTTGAGTGGAAGGCTTTGATTTCTAATTCAACTCCTAACCAACCCCAGTGAGGAAAAGAGCAGGGGAATGGGAGAAGTAGCAAGGAGAAGAACATGATGAGAGAAGATAGAGAGAGAGGAATGAGATGCAAGAGAGCATTGATGCTGGTTTTGGGAGAAGAACGACTAAAAGATTTCTTGGATCTTGAAGATTTAAAAACTTAAAAATTTTCGGATGTTGATATTTAAAAAGGAATTTTTTTTTATAGAGCCGAGGCTCTAAACAATCAAATTAGAGCCCACCTTGAAAATTTTACTAGAAGAGGTTGTTTTGACGCCCAAATACCCTCAAATCGATTATCTCGATATCAAGATGCATGGACATGAGATCATAGAGCATCTTGTAACGCATTTTTGAACTATCAATTTTTAGGATTTTCAAGTTTTCATAGATCTGTTCAATCTACACTATTTTTTAGGCTTTAAATTTTATAATTAGAGATGAAAATATGTTTTAAGGTTATCACAAAGATTTCGAGTATTGAAACCATATTTCCCAATACTATTTTAAGGTGCGCTTTACTTTGATTGTTTAGAACCTCGGTTCTATACAGATTGCACCCTTTAAAAAATGGGGCAATTTTGAAAAAAAAAAGTTTTGACCAACTTATAAACAGATATGTATGTATTCATACAAAAATATAAATGTAATTAAAGATTGTCTTTGGTAATTATGTAGTAAAAATAAATATAATAAATTTATACACAATTTTTTCTAGTAATATAAATGTAAATAAATATTTCCTTTGCTAATTTTGTAGTAAAAATAAATATAATAAATTTATATATAATTTTATGTATATAATATCATATATTTTCACCTCTTTTTGCAATAATAGATTTTCATCCTAAAAAGACTACTTTCTTACTTCGATAAAATAAAGGGTTATGCTAGGGTGCTCACATTATAGAACATTTTACAATTGTACTCAACAAATTTTAGGCACTTATATACCACAATAGACCATTTTTAAGTAAGGATATTTTTGGCACAAGTGGTATGACATGACTTACATGGAGCATTAAATACAACTTGTGCGTTCCATGGGAGTGATGTCACACATTATGTGGATAATATCATACATTTTCTAATGACGAAAAGTACCCTTATTAAAAATAATGATCCATGTACAAAACAAAAGTATATAAATGTCCAAAATTTGTTGAGTACAATTATAAAATACTCTTTGACTTGAGCAAAAAAAGTTCTAAGGTTTGGATGATTAAGGTCCTTAAAAGGCTTAAAGCTTTCTTATGGTTGCTGGAACAAGGTAGGGTGTTGCCGGGAGATCAGTTAAGGAAAAGAGGAATGATTTATGTATGATTTCTTTGAAATCGAGCAGTTGAATGATTGTAATCATTTATTTCTTCATTGCCCATTTGCTACGGTTTTTTTGGAATTGGGGTTCTACAATCTCCAATTGGCGGTGGACCATGCCAGGAAATATTCATGGTTTATTTGCTTATGTTCTCAATCCCCCCTTCTCCAAAGCATGCATTCACGTTAGGTGTATTCTTTGTGCTGCTGTGCTTTGGTCTTTATGGAAAGAGATGGTATCTTTAGCGATATGGATATTCTCTCTAAGACAATCATGAGACTCACTGTTTGCTGGGCAGAAACTTTTCTGTGTTTCAATTTTTGTCCCAAAGAGTCATTTTCACCAATTTTGCTGATATTCTCTATTACTGACCACATATAGTGATCAAGCCTTCCCTTGGATACCTCCCCCCATCGAGATGGTTGATGTTAAACTTCAACAATAGTGTGAGACATGAAATGCAGAGAGCTGACTTTGGTGGGATTCTTAGAAACCATGATGGGAACATTATTTTCTCCTTTTTTTTTTTTTTTTTGGGAATTAGCCTTTTGTGACAGTAATAAGGTTGAGCTTAGGGCGGTCATGGAAGGTGGTCTCTGAGCCCACTAGTGACATAATCATATCATTATTGATGGTGACACAGCTAATGTGATCAATTGGTGTTCCCATCCGTCCTCCAATCATGGACCTCTATTTTGGATGAAATCTGCTTGGCAATTTTGGCCAAAGAGGTCCCCTTCAATCACATCAATAAAGAAAAAAATGGCGATGCTAATGCTCTTGCGAAACTAGGGTCTTCTTAGTCTGTCTTCTCCTTCGTTCTCTATTTCTCTCTCCTTAACTCTTTTTTCTTCTTCTTTTCTTTTCTTTTGTTTCTCTTTTTCTCGTATCATTTTTTGGTTATTTTCTTTGTAATTCTCATTCTCTCAATGAATTAATGCTCAAAAAATAAAATAAAATAAAATGCTCTTTAGTGTGAGCAATCTCAATGAATTACCATTAACACTAAAAAAATAAAATAAAATGTCCTAAGCACTCTCAACATAACCCTAAAATAAAATACCATTGAAATAGTTAATGGTGTGATTTGAAATATATCGAGGGTGGGCATGCCTGAGGTTATCGATGATTTTCTCTTTGCTTTTAAGTCCTACCCGATATTCGCGCGTCGTGTCGAAGTCCACAAACACCAGCTTGTTCTTACAAGATTGCAATGTGTCCATGTATACACCTGTCCGCAACATGATCACCATCGTGCGTAAGAAAAGATTTCATGCTCTCTTAGAAGCGTATTGTCCATTTGCTCCCTCGGGCAAAAACTCAAGCTTTCAATATTTTGGAAAAGAAGAAAATAATAATACTTTATACTCTCTAGCCTCCTAAAAACAATGATGTCTCTATATTGAACAAGAATTGTATAATTTTAGAAAGAGATATCCAACGTTCAAGAAACAAAAATAAGGGCAAGCTTTTTATGTTTCTTCTACAACATAAAACTTATATACTTCTCCTTATCCAACCGTCCGTTCTGAATAGAAGGCTAATATTGCCCCAATCACAATATCACATTTCTATATTTTTTTATTTTTAATTTTTTTATAAACTATTTTGATACCAAATTTTGGACGTCCAATCCTCTATTAAACTTGTACTAGCGAAAAATATATAAAAAATATTGACAATAAAATAAAATGATTAAAATACATCTGAAAGTTTCAAATGGTATTTTGGTCATTATATTTTATCAAAAAATTATTTATAATACTTTTTATAGATGCACCCCAATGAGAATATGACACTTACCAAATTTCATATTCATTAAATTTGTATAAAAAAAACTAAAAATAAAATACTTTGAGATGTCATATCTAAGATCAAACGGTGAGTGGCTCTCTTGATCAAAATTGGACGGCTTGGGGAAGCATATATCTTTTATGTTGTAGGGCAAGTATAAAAACCTTTCCCTAAAAATAAAAAGGGAAATATTTATACCTACGCTCTAAACAATCAAATTAGAGCCTACATCAAAATATTTATTAGAAGAGGTTGTTTTGATGCCCAAATATCATCAAATTGATCATCTTGACATCAAGATGCATGGATATGAGAAAAAAATAGATTTCAAATTTTGAAAATAGTGCATCTTGTAATGCATTTTTAGACCGTCAATTTTCAAGATTTTCAAGTTTTCATAGATCTCCTCGATTTGCACTATTTTTGAAGCTTCAAATATTATAATTAAAGATAAAAATATATTTTAAGGCTAGCACAAAACTTTCCACTATTGAAACTATATTTCTCGACACTATTTGACAGTGGGCTTTAATTTGATAGTTTAGAGCCTTGGCTCTATACAAACCGCACTTAAATAAAAATTCAATTTGTTTTTTAAAATAGGTAGCGCTTAGATGGGTCCCAAAATTTTGCATAAAAAAAGAAAAGAATCCCAACTATCAATTTTACCGGAGAGAGTTGATGAACAGCGTACTCCCTATGAAGCATCGGTCCTATGCATTCTTGCCCATCTCTCTTTTAAAAAAAACAAAAGAAGGAAACGAACGCCACCACTTTCTTTTATTCGATCCTTTCGCGCAGCCGCGAACCTTCCCTTGAAAGCCATATTCTCTCTCCTCTCTCTCTCTACTAAAAACTCGACCATCTCTTCGTCATCACTTCTGTAGGAAAATTGTGCTGGGCCGTATTTCTACATATGCGGTCTAGAAAGATGTATGCAACCAGGTTTCCATCTAACAACAATAGAAATTAACTGTCAAATTTTCTTTTCATTAGAGTTATTATTTGTAGTTTTTAGTTTTTCATATTCATTATTTCCTTAGTAAAGATTATACGTTTTTTAAAATTAAGTCTTAAAATCCATCTCAAAAATAAATTTATTAAGAGCCCCGAAATCCATCTTAAAGAGAGAATTATTAAGAGCCCCGTATTTCTACATGTGCGGGCTTGGCCGCATAGAAACCGGACCCTTTCTCCATATCAGAAGAAAGAGCCACGTTCTCTCTCTAAATATCTAAATCTCTCTCTCTATGGCAGAAAGAAGCTCGCTCTCACTAAATCCCTTAAGAAGCTCGCTCTCACTAAATCCCTTAAGAAGCTCGCTCTCACTAAATCCCTTTCTTTTTTAACACTCCCGCTTTAAATCCCTGCCCCCTTCTCGCTTCTCATTCCTCTGCATCTCGACTCTCTAATGGAGCCACCATGTCCCCAAAACTCTTTCCTCTACAATTCCTCTCTCTGTGCCTGCAACCCTGGCTTTGTCATGGACGCTTCTCGCTCGAACTGTACCCTCTTCTGGCTTCCTGGGGGTGCTGAATTTTTTGTGGACTCAGGTGTTACTTATGATCACAATTTCCCCAAAACCATCTTTTCGTTTGAAGCCATTAACGGGATTACACAGTCTCAAGCCCTCTTCCTTGAAGCCACTCTGGTTTCTTTGCTCACTTGGCTGGGCTGCTGCTTTGCCCTGCGCCTGAAGAAGGTGGAAGATGGCAAGAGCCATTGGTTTAAGCTTCGCTATTGGATTAGCCGATTGGATTTTTGTTACGCCACGCACCACTGGGTTGTAAGTCCTCTCTCTCTCTCTCTCTCTCTCTTTCGCCTTTCTCTTTCAAGTCCTCGTATCTCTTTCATTTTGTTTTTTTTGTTTTCTCTTGTTCTGTCGAAGCATGTGCCAACAGAGGTCTAATTTAGAGTTTTATTATTTCAAATTTGAGAATTATGTTATACCAAATGCTCACAGAATCCCGACACCCAAATGCAAATTTATGTGAAATAAGTGATCCCAGAGCAAATATATAGAAAAATTAATTATGCATGCCAAATATGTGAATCAAAAGGCTCGCATAGGGAAATAATCATGCTGAACTCCCTCAAACAAATTATGCCAGGGGAGAACATGCCTTCCAAGATTGAATATGTAAAGAGGGTCCTGCATCAAAATGTTCACAATGAAGATACTCAATGAGAAACTTTCATTTGTAACATTTCTTTTGCATCTTTGAACAAAAAAATAAATTGAAGAAACTTCCATTTCGAAAATTCGATTTCTCTACTTTGTATGGAACTTCTTTTTACTACTTTGAAGACTTCTTTTAAGCCTTCTTCACCTCACCCTTTTTGGTCTAAATCAATTTGTTAGTGACAAGGACAGTCACCAAACTTTGCCAGACTTCCGTAGTTTGCTAGTTAATCACATTTGTTCATTAAGGTGATGCAATTTTAGCAAACTGTGGGTTTTGCTCTAGGACAAATGAGGCATTTTATATACACCTTGAAACCTCCAACGATTTTGGATGCCATTGGTCTATTTTGACTCCAAGAAAACAAGATAGCAACACTGCTTTGGTAAAATTAACTACTGAGTTGCCAGTGACGGTGAATACTTCTACGTCACCTTGGTTGCCCATGGCAAAAGGTGGACTTCAAGAAAATGTGGGGCTTCAAAACAATTATGGTGAAAATATAGCCCTGAGTGTAGTGCAAGAAGTAGCCAATATACTTGTCTGATCGTGATATTATTTGGAAACAGTGAAAATGAAATATGAGGATGGTTAGACCCTCGTAGCTTCTGGGGAGAGCCTTGATTTCTTGCTGTTTCATTAGTAGTTTACTTTCCCCAAACCTCACAGTGATAAGGACCATGTAAAGACGCAACTTCTGATCTTATTCATTTTTTTTTCATTGGTCTTTGTTGCTTATTCATTGATTTTACATTTTTCCTGTGACGCCATAGATGCTAGGGTTGCAAAACAAAATGGACCTTATCTATATCCATGTGAGAATTTTAGATTGTGATCGCTAATGGTGGTAAGTTGTTTTATAATGGCAAGTGCAGATATATACCCTTAACCATGGCTGACAACTCCCATAAACTTAATAAGTATGCTTTACCCTTAGGAGTTTGCTATGCTGCTCTGGCGCCTGAATAGATTCTTGCATCAGGACTTTCATGAGGATTTTCTTTTGGAGTTATTAATAGATGTAATTTGTGAGATGTGAACGAAACACACAAAAGAAGGTGCATGATGAATTGGTGAAAATAAAACTACTCAACTCAAATTTTATGGAGAAACTGGTTTATAAAGGGATTAGGGGAATAGTGGCCCAATGATCGTCGTTCAAGTCCCCCGTGTATTTAAGCTTCGAAAGAAATATGAGGATGTAATTCAATTATCAAGCCCATGATCATGACCTCCCCTACATTCCCTGATGTTAACCACGTAAATGCAGATGTACAGGTACTAATAGAAGAGAAAGACTGAGAAGTTTATATGGGAACCCAATGTGGCTCCTCATTTTAATCCTTAATCTTCAGATGTACTTTTTGATAAAGTCATCAAAAGTTTATCAAAAAGATAATGCACACAGTTATAACTCTTATCCAAATTCCTTAACAGTCAAAGGGGATATTGGTTTTGGAAACATTGACTATAACTGAAGATCTGATTGCTGGTAGGGTATGGAACCTAAAGATGTCGCATGGGAATGATGGAAAAAATGTCATACAGTATTTTCCTCAATTTCAGCTAATATTTGTTTTGCTTTGTGGTGAACATATAGGATGAGAAAATCTTGGATGGTTCAAGTACAGTTATGTTTACATTAAGATAAGGGTTAGAGGTATGTTTCCCATTTGAATTGGATGCTATTTTTGTGGGATTTCTATGATGGCTGGGTACGTTTGAACTTGGGGGGATCAAATAGTTCATTTGGACTGAGAAGAGATTTTTGGGGGGCTTTCAGAAACCAGAAGAAACAATTTTGAAAAGCATAAATCATTTTGGTTCTTTATTTTTGGTCTTAGTCCCGTTTCTGGAACCTTGGTTATTCCAATTTCTGTGGTTCAAATTTTGAATGGACTTGGGCTTTCTTAGATTTCTAACGTCACACATCTCACTGTTGACTAGCACAGTTTCAGTATGTAAGGTAGTGCGATTTTAGTGTTGAGAAGGAAAATAATGAATGCATTGCTTATAATTTATGTGTGATCCATTGCTGACATACTCGTAAGACTTCAACATGCATATCTATTTGATGCAGGATGACCAAAAACCTGTTGCAAAGCGCAAAACTGAGCTGGGAGGGACTCTCTCTGTTGCTTGTTGGATTTTATTCGTTGGTTTGGTTTCTGCGTGAGTACATTAAAGTGATTAGTATTTGCTTTTGTATCATAAACTTATTATCCTTGTACATGTCATTTTTTATTTCATCATTGACAGTTTGTGCTGCTCCAACGCTGGCTTATTTTAATCCTTCTGTTCACAGATTACTATATCACATCATCACCAAACGGGCTGTTGAGGTGCATAATGTCAAAGCTTCAAATGTCTCAAATTTGTTATCTTTTGTTAATGATATGGAATTCAATATTACTACTGTTTCCAGTATGAGCTGCGCTCATCTCCATGGTCTGGGTTCTGTAGTGACTGGAATCCCTGGTTTCATCGACCACAGAGTTTTGCCCCTGTCAATGTTTGCAAACTACAGCTGTCACAACTCGAGCATGGGGCCCACAATATCACTTTCATGTAAAAATTGTCGCATTACGAGAGACAATTTATACGTTTCATGGCAATTTGTTGATCTCCCGAAAGATCCTGCTACTGCTGTTGGTTTTCAGTTTAACCTCACAGCTCAGAAGCCTGGTAACAATAAGCATGTGAGTTCTATCTCTGGAACATTGAAATCTGGAAGTGCTACCACAGAAAGGCCAACAACATTCAGAGGGGTAGATGGAAATGTTTTGAACTTCCATATGTTCCCACAGATATACCGTAATGTGCACAACTTGAGGCTCATTCAACCATTGTTTCATGAGTTCCTTCCTGGGTCTTCTTTTGTTGATGCCAACAAGTTTCGTGCATCACTGGATAATTCTAATGGCGGTTTGATCAACATAACAATTTACATTAGTTTTATCTCTGACTACATTATTGAGGTTGACAGCGAGAATGTTGTAGGACCGGGTAAGATTTCATTGTTATGACTGAAGCATGAGTTGCTATATGTGCATCACTTTCATGTAGGAAACAATTCTCTCGTAAATAAAATTTTTAGAGAAAATATCAGGACAGTACTTGACACACATGCAATGCTCACACGGGTGGTTCAAAAAGTGAAATATCAGGGAAATCATTAGACTCATCCATATTTTGAAGGGATTTTTACTCTTGGTCATTTGACCTTTTTCTCTTCTGATTTGTCAAATATTTTAACACTGGATTGGGTAAATAATTATTTGAAAAGTTCGACAGGTCCATGTACTGTCTTGTTATTTCTAGCTTTCGGACTGTCTACATGATCTATGTAGGTGATCTTGGTACTGTCTAGATATTTCCCAAGAGTTTCTTGCCATGTCAGTTAGGATTCACTTGACATATAAGCTGTAGATAATGCAGTTTTCTGTGTCTCGTTTTACACTTGCATTTGGCCATCATTGTTTTCTTGTGTTTATCTACATGTTCTGGTGATTATCTTTTATGTGTTTTTGGGATATCTGCTTCTCAATGATCATTTCGCCATGATTCACCTTGAGCATTGTTCAGCGTTGAATCTAATTAAATTAATAGGATCACTGAGATCATTTAGTAACTTCATTATGCTAGACACTAGCTGGCACATGACATATTATCCATTTGTTCGCTCAAGTCCATCATAATAAAACTTATTGGCTATAAATGTTAAATCCCATTTAGCAGTGTATTAAGTTGGAGATTATTAAGTTCTTAGTTTTCTAATATTTGAGTATTTAAGTCAGCTTGAGAGGGAAAATCAGCGTGCATGAACAATGGTGGTTTCAAATTTACCATAAAATGGTTCTTAGAGGATTCAAAGTAGTCATAGCTTATGAGGCCCTTGTGTGCTTGCTAGAGTTAGCATGGCTAACTCAAGGACTGGTTTTAGTAGAGGGACCATAAGAACTAGGGGATCCTGGTGGCTTGAGGGATGCTTTTGGTAGCACGTGCTTTACGTGAAAGTTAGTTGGTTAAATCATGTAGGTAGAGAAGTGGATGTTGGCTATGCTAATGAATTAGAAGGGACATACTTATTAAATCGTTGTGTTTTATTCTCTTGCATTTTAATTGTAGATATCCTGAGATTATAATGATTATATTTCTAAGAGACCTAGACGTGGATTCGTTAACATATATGGATACATGGAGCACGTATATGACTTGGGATTTACCAAAACCAAGGACATGTATGTGATGTAGTCGACTTGTGAGCAATGTGCCTTCAAAATTGCTTTAACTTTTTAGCAGCTCAATATTGGCTTATCGGTACTCTATCGAAAGTTCTCTTAGAGCCCTAGGATGTCGCAACATGCTTTGCCGATTGCGGAAACCGATTTTGTCAGAAATGTCCTAGAGGCCTTCAAAGCTTGACCTGCACAATGAGGGGCAGTTTCATCTTTTGAGGTGTTTTGGGCTAGATTGTCTTTCTGTCTTTCCTATATTCTATATATGGTTGTGACTAAATGTTTGTAAGGGAGTGCAGATTGGGTATGATGTAAGGGGAAGGGCAGTTTTTTGAGTTTTATCCTTAGGGTTTTCTGGTTTATCTAGATGTGTGGTTATGGAGCTTAGCTTGTAAGCTCCCTTTACTATTTTCAATCCATTTGTTGTTTTTAGTTTACCCTTTGCTTGATCCCTTTCCACCATCAACTGGTGTTAGAGCAGGTCGACTCCCAAAGTGCCTTGGAAACTTCAGTTGTATGTGATGCTAGAGTGGCCGACGATAGTACTTGCTGTGGGCCAATGAGGGAAAATTTTGATGACTTGCTGAGGTGATTTGAGGAACCGGAGCAGGAAGGGCCCCAAACTTGTTTGGAGCAGGGTTTGGTTGCCCATGAGAGTGACAAATCAGAGCCCAGAGAAGAGAACCCTTTCCATAACTGGCAGAGGGATGAAACTCTGCTTCTTCACCAAGGGAAAGGCCCCAACCTGACCCTCTAGGAGTATTTACTGTGAACCTTGGAACGAGCAGATAGAGGCATCTGGATAAATGTGCCTGAGTTCTCTGGTCGGCTACAACCAGAGGACTTCTTAGATTGGCTTGCCAGCATTGAGATGTATATCTAGTGGAAGGATATATATGAACAGAAGAAGGTGAAGTTCATAGCCACCGGAATGAAGGTGCATGCCCTCCTCTGGTGGCAGCAATTGCAGGCCTTTGTGAGGAGGCAAGGAGAAAATCTTGACTTGGAAGACAAAATCACGTTTGAATGAAAATTTGTCCTAGTTGATTATGTCCAATATTTATTCCAGGGTCTCATCATTTGCACCAAAAGGAGAAGATTGTGCAAGAATATACACAGGAGTTTTACCTCCTGATGAGCGAAAACTAGATTCACGAAAATGCTGATCAGCTCATAGCCCATTAGATCAGTAGCTTGAAACTCCAGCTTCAAGATGAGCTGATCCTGCACGGGCGATCAGTCTTGATGAGGCATATCCATTACCTTAAAGGGGGAGATGAAATTGAAGAGAAGCATTGTTGTTTACTTCTCTGACCAAGGGTTCTCCTCAACCGCCGAAGGGCATAGTGCTAGTCTGAGGCAACAGGAGCCAGCTGACCCTAGTTTTGCGTCCAGCGGTGGGGTGAAAGTAGGGAAGAATCTGGCCATGAACAAGCCTATCCAAGCTCAGGGATCAGTGTTGCAAGCGAGATGGACAGAGACACCACTCTTTCGAGAGCCTCAAGAGGCAGTTGGTATGCAGCTTTGTGATGGGGACAAGGATTTTGAGGGAGATATTGATATGGAGCCTATCTATGATGAGGGGGCTGAGGATGAACTAGAACGAGGTGCAACAGAGTTCTATCTGGATGAGGGTGAACTGTGGTTGCGAACAAATATCATTCACACTAGATGCACCACTCAAGGTAAAGGTTGCACCATCATCATCAATAGTGGGAGTTACGGCAATATGGTGTTACAGCAGGTGGTGGATAAGCTCAAGTTGATGGGTGAACAACACCCTCAAACCTACAAAATCTCCTGGTTTGAGCGAGGTAACGAAACCCCTGTTGACCACTGTTGTTTGGTTACTTTTACTATTGGGAACTGTGATGAGCTCCCAACTGATGCATGCCCATTTTGTTGTCACCAATGGCAGTATGGCCTATCCACTATTCACCATGACGCAACACATACCTTTTGGAGTTAAAATTAGCTTGCAACCCCTAAAGGAGGATGCCAAACTGAACCTAAGAAGGGGGAATGTGGTTATTCTCTCCCTGAATCAATTTCTGGGTGAGGGCCCAGAGAAAGGGATTGTGTATGCCTTAGTAGCAAGGAATCCTCTCTTCCTACTGCTAATCCCACAGTCGTAGAGCCATTGGTTGCTAAATTTAAAGATGTAATGCTGGAGGAGTTGCTTAGTTGTCTGCCTCCCATGAAGAATGTGCAACATTGTATTGACTTCGCTCCGGGCACCCAAACCTACCCATTATCGCATGAGCTTGAAAGAGCATGATAAGTTGCTCCAGCAGGTCTCCCAGTTTCTAAAGGGCTGATTTAGGAAAGCATGATCCGCTGCGCTGTTTCCCCTTACTAAAACCAAGAAGGATGAATCTTGGCGGATGTGTGTGGATAGTAGGGCAATCAACCAGATATTTGTGAAATGCTGCTTCTTAATCGACTAGATGACATGCTTGATATGCTAGCAGGCTCAAGGGTCTTCTCTAAGATTGACTTGAAGAGTGGGTATCACTATATCCAAAATCTCTCTTGTGATGGGTGGAAGACTGCATTCAAGACCTGGCAAGGGTTGTACGAATGGCCCATCATGCCATTTGTACGGCTTAATGCCTCGAACGCCAGGTACTTCGGCCCTTTTCTAGGAAGTTTGTAGTAGTCTATTTTGACAAGATCCTTGTTTACAGCTGCACTTATGAAGAGCATTTGGGCCATTTGAGGCAAGCCTTCTTGATTTTACGAATGGAGAAACTATTTGTGAATATGAATAAGTTTCCTTTATGATGGATAGCTTTGATATTCATGGGATTTGTAGTGTCAGCACAAGGGATTAAGGTGGACCAAGCCAAGATGCAGGCTCTTAATAGAGTGGTTGACGCCAAAGACCATAGGGGAAGTTAGAAGCTCCATGGCCTTGCTACCTTTTGCATGCGATTTATCAAGAATTTTGGCACTGTTATATATGACTCATTAAAGATAAGATGACTAATGTCCCTGTGCCAGCAGTGCTGGATTTTGAGAAGTCTTTCAAGTTGATTATGATTCCTCCCATGTGGGTGTTGGCATTGGTAAGGCAAAACCAATGACATTTTACAGTGAGAAATTAAATGAGGCCAAGGCCTGATATCCTCCTATGATGTGGATTTATATGCGATTGTGCAGGCTTTGCGTCACCAGCAGCATTATTGTTTTTCAGAGAGTTCATTCTGTTCTCAAATCATGAGGTACTGAAGTTCTTGAATGCCCAGAAAATGCTCAATAGGTGCCATGCCTGGTGGATTTCCTATCTGTAGGAGTTCACCTTTGTAATTCAACACAAAGGCCCATAGCCAACACACAGTGGCCGATGCTTTGGTGGTTGGATTCAAGATCCTGCCATTGCCCTATTACTGTAAAATTGTTGATTAATGTGGGCAGGAGAAGCAAGGTTCCTACCCCTGACTTTGTAATGCAGGATGGATTTCGAATAAACTATGGCATCGTAGAGGGGATGTTTGCACCATGATCATCGCCAAAATGCATGGTGGGGGCCATAGTGGCCACTTCTAGCAAGATAAGTAAGACAATTGCTGTTTTGGAAGAGAAGTATTTTTTTTTTTAAATTGTTAACATTTTTATAGAAGAAAAGGGTGTACAAGAGGTTAGTCCAGGGGACCCACGGCCTGGGTCACCTGGCAAAAAATATGCTGCCCTAAGAGGTAACCCTATACAAAAAATTGGGGCTTATAGCAATCGTCCATTACAATAGTATACAGAGAAAGCCAAAAA